GATGATGAGCAGCAGGATCCTGCAGATCATCTTCTCCCTGTGAGAGGAGACAGAGGTGAAGAGTCATCAACACATGAGGTCAAAGGTCAGTCAGTACAGCTAGAAGAAGGAAAATCTACAGTCTGACTTCATTCACTCATCACAACATCTGATCCTGTTTGTGATCCCCACCACAACTACATGAACTAAAACCACTACAAGGGAAGCAATCAGAAGAAAAGCCTGCACTTTGATTTACTCTGAAAATATTTTAGATTTTTCAAATTTTCAGACAAATTGAAATGTTTTTAATTTGACACAAGGTGGCGCCATGTGTCAAATGATAAGGAAATTATGAATACTTAAACATTTTTTTACTGAACTTCTCCTACAAACAGGAACATTTGTTAATGTTCATGTAAAGAGCATTAGTCCAGGGAAAAGTGAAGTCTGTAATTTGGTTCTTTTTTAAAATTTCACTCTCATATAATTTTCACGTCTCTGCAGCTGAGAAACTAAATACTTTTGAGTAAATGTAAATCTTCAGAAGAAGCAACATTTCAAATGAAGCAGCGTCTCTGACAGATCACTGACAGTAAAACAGAATGAACAGACTGAAAAAGTGCCATTAACTGCTGTCCTTACCGAAAAGGTGACCTCATGCCTGACATACATGCTGAAGATGTAACACAATTTTTACATTATTTATCAAAAAGTCTAAATTTTTATATTCTAAAATTTACAATTGTCTCCCTGTCTGTTTGTTCGTAGTCCAGTGTCCACTGGTATCACTTTCGAATGTTGTGTGAGGGCAGAAACCAAGAACAGCTCAGCTGATTTAATTTTGGTGAAAATCAGGTCAAGGTCACCTCAAATATGTAAATCAATAAAACTTTATATTACCCATAATTTTTCAAGAAACTTTAAAACTTTGTTTTAAAGTTTAGAGTAAAATGTCAGTCATAAATATTTCATCTTCTGGATATTTAAACTGAGCTATTTCTTATATTTTGTAAACTTTGTAACATATTGTGTTACTTAATTTAGTTCAGTCTGTTACTGTTTGTATTTCATAACAGCTGTGTGAGGCAGGCACGAATGGACCCAAAATGCAGAATTCAAAGAGCCTAAAACTAAACCACAAAAGTAGCCTTTTTTTTTTTTTTTTTTTTTTTGCTACAATTAAAGATTACAAAATAAAACTGGGAGACACCAGAAACTAAACAGACTGGAAGAACACACAGACATGAGGGAGATGCAGACATTAAATACACCCAAGAGCAAACGAGGGAACAGACCTCAGGTGGGAACACAGCAGAGCATGATCTAACTAATGAGACGAGCAAACAAAACACAACATGCTGCACACAAGACAAGTGACTATCAAAGTAAAACAGGAAGTACACAAAACGCACACAGAGACGTATATTGACTAAATACAGAGAACAGAGAGAATGAGAGAAACACAGACCTGAAAAGGAAATAGGCGAAAAAACAACATGACCGAGGATACGGACTAATTAACACGGAGACAAGACTGAGGTCAAAGACAGGTCCTACCACAGGAAACTAGAAACAAGAGGACAGGCAACGAGAAGAGAAAACTTGAGGCTAGATAAAACAAAAGAGACATCAGGAGACAAACAGATCAAAACTATAATAAAATTCCTCAGGCATTAATAAAGTATTGTGATTATAAGAACAGCAGTAATATGGATGAACCTGCTTTTATCAAAGATGTTTTTAACAAACGTGACATAAAAATAAAGAAGACATAAATCAAGGGCGTAGATTTGGCATGGAAGGAAGGGACATGTCCCCACCAATATTCAGCGATTATTGAATTGTCCCCACCAATAATTTGATATCTTCGAGTAAAAAAAACAAACCCGACAGAAAAAAAACCCAAAAACGATCTGTCAGCGTCTCATTCACCCAGCAGAGCAGAAAGAGTTCAATTACGTTCTCTACTGGAGTCCTACGTCATGTGACAAATATGGCCAATGTGATTGGCTGTGCCTTTCAGGGAGCTCTGTTTAGTTTTAGCAGCTGCAAGCCTGCGCTGCGAGGAGGAGAGGAGGACGGCAGCAAAGAGGAAGAATCTAGATATAAGAAAGTATTTTTCAAAGAAACCTGTAAGTCACTTAAAGCCAAGTTCACTCATAAAATGTGTCCGTCATAATAATGTTACAGGCTATGCTAGGCTTTGGCCCACATCAGTCTAAAATTGTATGTAACCATGAATAACGTGTTTTGGAAACTAACTGCACAACAGGCAGCACTATTAGTTCTCTCAGTCTCAGAGCAGCATTTCTAAGCTTGATTGAAACTGTCAGAGAAAACGGCAGCCTCGAGCAGGCCAGGATATTAGTTTACAGAGGCTGTTACTGACATATTCATAGGGTTAATTTTTGAGACAAAATATCATGAGGTAGTCATGATTGCGCAAATATTCCACCTTGTAGTGCAGTTTGCACAAATTGTTGTAAAAATGCAGTCAAGATCTGCACAAAGTGACAGAAACACTGAAGCAGCTCCACATTTTATTCTTATTGTCATGTATGTCCTATTTGTCAGGTGACAGAAGAACCAACACAAAGCTCAGAGAGTAATGGTGACACAAGATCACAGGTGAAGTTGGATGATGACCTGGTGGTTCATGACTGTAGTTGAAGCACATGTGTGACTGCATGTATGTGGAATGTCTCACTGTTATTCATCAGGTGACAGAGGCAGCTCTGCCATGTTGTAGCTCGGACAGAGGTGAAGAGGCGAGGTCACAGGTGACTGACTGATGATTTGGTGCTATAGATTAACTAGTATTTATTATCATCATCCCAGTATCCTCGGCTGAGGCTAAAAGAAGCTTCAGTGCTCTCACAAGACTAAAAACATGGCTAAGGTTAACAATGACTCAAATGAGATTAAACAATGCTGCTCTTTGCCATGTCCACCAGGAGACACTGGACAGTATAGATGTAAAACAAACATGCCAGCAGTTTATCTCAGTTAACGAGAGGAGCAGGCATGTGTGTGGCCCCTTCACATAGTGGACATTGAGTTGTTGTGTGGGACATGTAGTCCATGTCTTTTGCTGTAACAGTAGTTCATGTTGAGAATAAAACATCCCAGCTCACTAACTTGATCGGGGCAATAGTGCCTAAAATGTTGCATCATTTTGCCGAGAGATCTTTTACTTTGTGGTCATCTTAGATGGACAAAAGCCACCAGGTCATTCAGTGTTCCCTTAGTGCTAATGCATATAAGAGATGTTGGTGTACTATAACTGAAGTAATGTTAAGTCCTTAAAGTCATATTCTTTTATTATCATGACTGTATTTGAAGCTATTTTTATTTTTGTATGATACCTGATTTATATGGAATATGACTGAAGTAAACTAAAGCCTAAAATACTTAGTCAGTCATTTGTTTAATGGTAATTTAACAAATTTAACAAAACTATGTATTTTAAGTTTAAATGGTTTAAAAGCATGTATAATAGCATATGCAGGGAAGTATATTTCTCCTTTTTTATCAAGAAACAAAGACAAAAAGGAAAAAAAAAGAAACAGGGCAGGGTTCGATGGTTGAATCATTCGTCCCCACCAATGCCAAAACCAAATCTACACCCTCGACATAAATAAAGCAGCAGGAAGTAGAAATAGAGTCAAATATATGACAAAGCACATACATGCTGCTGTTGTCTCCTCTTCTTTAGTTGGTGGTTTGTTTTCTTCAGCCAGCTGTTTCATCAGGTCTCTCTCTCTCTCCTTTGACGTGACATCAGCATTTTTGTTTTGTTTTAATAATAAAATAGTTTGGAAGAGTTGATCATTCACGATCAGCTCAGCAGACAAAACCAGTTCAAAGCTGCTTATACAAAGAGAGAAGGATGATCATTGCTTCAGTCCTGTTGCATCACAGCAGATTTTGAAACTTCCTGTAGAACAGTATTTGTTTTAATAACAGATCGTTTTTGTTAAAGAATGAAAAGTCAGTAAAGTTTAATCTGTAAATCATTTTAAAGGAACAAATTATAACTTTGTCAAAGTCATCACAAAGTGAAATGCAAAGTGTTGCAGAGGTGTAAAACATGCCGTCACTGTTTTTGTTCTGTGGTTTGCACTGAAACAGCTTCTGCCATGTTGTTCTGGCTGTAAACGTCTCTGTAATGGGAGTGTTTCTGTGTGAGAGACTGTAACAGGATATTACTGAACTGTGAAAGTCTCCTGGAGCAGTTTGGGCTAAATGGTCTCTGCATCAGCCAGACTGTGAACTCCACATTTATACTTTACGATATTAACTGTACAGCTTTGAGATTACATAACAGCTCAGCTGTTAAACACATCTTGAAAGAGGAAGAAATGCATGAAACGTTAAACCCACTGACAGGTCTGCGTCGTATCTGACGTTTGTGTCCACACTATGAGGAAAGCAGCCCCACCAAACATCATCCTAACGAGAATGAACCAACAACAGTAAGTATTTCATCTTTATCTCTGTGTCCTTCCTGATGCTCTGTGTTTGTAAGCAAACTCAAACTGTCTTTGGCACATTTACTCAGACTGAGTTCAAAAAGAAGAAGAGTTTAAATTTTACTGTCAGGAGAAACTTTGTGTCAGTGTCTCTGTTGGTAATTATGACAATCTGAGAAAACTGCTTCATCTAAAAAGTTCAAGTGGGGAAAAATCTGACTTTTTCAATCAAAACTTTTTTTTCTTTTTGAATTAAAATATTATCATAGGACAGGACTCAGGGGGGAGTTCAGAGAGTGATCTCAACCGCTTTCACAGCCGGTCTCAAACTCCGTGTGTGTACAACTGTTTCTTATTTCAATTGTTTGTATAGACAGCATATATATTCTAAATATCATGTTACTTTGGACCTCTGACCTCTTCTTCAAGGTCAAATTTTCATAATGTCGCTTTTATCTTTGAAACTATATTGAAAATTGTGCTGCCTTAATTTCATGATCTTTTCCTTGATTATTTTCTGAACATTCACATGAAACAAATCTTGTTTTTCCCTCTAGAGAATAAAAAACCTCTGTAACTACAAAACTGTTTCAAAAATTCGTTTAAATCTAATTTAACAGATTTTCCTTCTTCTAGCTGTACTGACTGACCTTTGACCTCATGTGTTGATGACTCTTCACCTCTGTCTCCTCTCACAGGGAGAAGATGATCTGCAGGATCCTGCTGCTCATCATCCTCACCTCATGTGTCTCTGGTTAGTTTACAGCTTCACTTTATGAACTCCAAATAAAGCTCAACAACAGATTTGTTCCAGTTCTCAGTGTGTCTGCTCCTCTCTTTCCCTCTCTGTCTCCTCAACAGGATCATTTGTAGTCAATGTGACACAGACCTGCTATCAGGCAGAGGAGAACCACAACATCACACTGGAGTGGACGTTCACCACCAAACCTGACAGATCCACCAAAACTCTCAACATCCTCTGTGAACTCTTTATTAGTGATGAAGTCTCGGTCCTGTATCAGGTTCATGAAGGTGTTGAGGTGTCAGAGTCTCAGGATGAAAAGTTTTCAGGACGAGTCCAGAGTGACAAAGACGCCCTCAGAGAAGGACGAATCAGACTTCAGCTGTCCAGACTCAGGACTGATGACTCGGGTCTGTACCTGTGTGAGGTCAACACGGATTATGGCTTCAGTGTTGGAAGATGTCGACTCAACGTCACTGGTGAGATGATTAAGTAGAAAAATAATAGTAATGTTTTGTACATCTGTATCACTGCTGTAGTGACTGAGCTGTTGAACAACAGGTTGTATGAAGCTTTAACTGTATGATTCATTTATAACTGTAATATTTAATATTATTAAAATCCAGATGGCTGACATTTTCATTCTGGTCTTTAACAGCTGCTGATCAGGTCCAACCTCAGAGATCAACTTTGAGTGGAGAAGTAAAGAGTTGCGGAAAAACCATGCTGAGCACTATACAGGGTCTAACAGCACTAACAGCTCCTCTGTCTGCCATGCTGGCTGCTTTCATTTGGTTTATTGTAGGAAGGAAATAAAAGAGCAAAATCAAAAAACCACAAGTTACCCTCAACCTAAAGACTACACGACTCTCTTCCTTTGACTAATGGCGGAAAATAACTTGTAGAATAAAATGTTAAATTTCCTGGTGCTGAATTTAAGTTAATGCAGCTGAAATAATCAGCGATCTTATAAATAACGTTTCTATTGTAATAATTGTTCATAAAAAAGTTTCTTAAATCACTTTGGATAATTTCCACATAGTGATAAAATGTTTCCCCACACAGGGTGGTGTAGTGTTTGGGTCAGCTGGACCTGTAGGATACACATGTTTGTCATACTTTGCGAACACATCACATCACAGGACTTTCTTCCACATGACTTCCTCAGACGTGATCTCAAACCATTTTTACATCTCTGCTCCTCGGCTCACTTCCTCCATTCAGGCTGTTTGTCTTTTCATTTCCTCACAAAGACACAGATAAATATAAAGAAGCATGTGAATCATTCAGAGTTACTCTTGTAGACTCACAGAATAAAAACTCAGAGCTGGAAATGATCAGAATATTTTTACTTCATGTTCAGATGTTGAAAAGCTCAGCTCAGCAACTTGAACTCATGAAAAAATTTAAAACATGTCAGTATAAATTTGAAGTGATATAAATGTGATGTGAGGTTTTCAACAGTTACCTACAAACACCTACATTATACATCAGTAACAGAGAAAAAGAGCAGCATGTTGTGAGCACTGATGCCTCAAAGGAACAAGGAAAAAATGTTTTCATGTCTATTGAAGTTCCAATAAATACTGTAATTTTCTCCGTTTGGTGAAGCTGTTGCTGCTGTGATCATCCTCTTCCATAATACATGTGAAACTGTGGATGTTTTATCTTTATTCAGGAACATGATTTGTGTCCTGCAGGCAGCAGGTCTCAGAGTTGTGTCATCATGTAGTTGAAAGTTCAGCCTGGATTTAAAACAAAAATAAAAGTGAAGCATCAGGAACAAACGTGAGATTCATCCAGTTCAAGAACTCTGCTGTAGAAATCTACACTTTGGATCAGACTGTAGCTGAGAGGAGCTTCAATAACACCAATACTGGACATCTTTATTTACTGATAGTTGTTCATGATCAGAAATGTGTGAGTGTAAGTTCTCTAACAAAGGTTTCAGTATTATCACAATTATTTATTGTGGCAATAAGCAGATTAAACATGTGACCCTGGTGTCTCCAGACAGCTGAGTCAACAACAACAGCTGGTTAAAAACATTATGACAGGTAACGTTAGTTATTGTTGCGAAACATGGCAGCACTTCTTTATCAGTTTTGAAAATCACTTCCAGTTCATTTCTTTTTAAGAGAACTGAACCTTTTATTTGTATTTTATATTTTTACTGACTCATCTATGTCCTAGTCTACTCATCTGAGAGGTAAAACAGTGGCTTGAATGTTTCTGTTGTATTTTAGCATCTTATATGAGCTCTGTCATCACATATGTTTTCCACCGGTTAGCTGACCTCAGAACAGATTTAAATAAGTTAAATACAGGAAATAAATAGAACAGGTACAAACAGTGTATATATCACAGTAATATACTGACTTATGAGTGTTATAGAGGAGGAGCATTACAGCAGCAACAGCTTCACCAAATGTACAAAGTAACATTCAAAGAATCTCACAGAAATGCTGCAGTTTGAACATCAACACTCAGCTACAGTTAGAGCTGAAATGAGCCTGTCTGTCCAGATGGTGGTGCTGTAAGCTCACTTTTCCTGCTCTGTTACAGACATGATCTTATATTCTGATCAGAAACAAAAGAACAGAAAAGATGAGCAGCTTTGAGTCATGATCAGTAAAAGGAGGAAACACAAGAGTCGATTCATCTGGAATCAAACATTTTCAAACAAGTCTGGAAAAATGACAAGAAATGTTTCTTTGTTTGTGAATACATTTCTGTATTTACTCCGTGAAAATCTCTCCTCTGTCTGTGAGCTCTGCAGGGAACACTGTGAGTCATTAACACAACTAACAACACAAATACAACCAGAACACAATGTTCTATTTTTCTGGAGATGGACCAAGCACAGGGCATTACTTAAAATGGAGAGCAGCTCAGAGTCAAATAGATATTGCTGTAGTTCCCTTCTGTTCTTACGTGTTTACACTGCTTTGTTCCCTATTCTCACTTTGAGCAATAGTGAACATCTCACAGATGTTTCTGTTTAGTTCAGGATTATCTGTAAGCTGGAGATGTGTTATTTTTTCTTTGTCATCTTGTAAGATTTGTTTTTACTTGTCTCCACTGTATATGTCGACACATTATATCACAGTTGTAAAGGAAAAAATAAAATATTGGACTGTCAACCTTCTGTACAATGTATTTCTGTCTCTACTCGTCACCCTCACAGTTTCTGTATTTTATTTCTTTTCCTTTTTTGAGCAGTATAGAATCAGGACACAGTACTTACCTCTGAACCACTGTGCCACTTAACACCGGGTCCATAGATGGTCATGATCCGGCACCATTTCAAGCCATTTATCAGAATGAATCGCCTCTTCCAACTTCACCTCTTTAGCTATTAAAAGCTTCCACTGGAAAAAGATCAAACACCTGCTGATCAAACTGATCCTCTGAGTCACATCAAACCTGCTGTAGAGCAGAGAACAAGAAAACAGACATTATGCAAAGGTAACCACCATGTCGACTTAAATCTTTATTAAAGTGCAGCCTGAAACTGTTCCTGTGTGATAGAGAGATTCAGGAGTCCTCACAGTATTCACTCTGAAGTCATGTTGAGCTGCATTTAACAAATCTGCTGTGTTTAAACACGTTTTTGCTTCATTAAATGCAGAAGCCCAAGCACAGAAAACCAGAAGTAGTCTTTGAGAGATCCCCGTGTTTTCAGTTTTGATTTGTTTTTTTGGAAGACATTTCCAAAAATGAGTGAAGAGAGGTGAAGGAGGTCTGTGTTCATAACTGTGCTTGGGATTTTTTTCAAGTGTTTATGTTGTTTGAAAATACTAAAATCTCCATTTATCACTACAGGCCTGTATACAGTCAGTGTTAGTAAATTTGATGAGCTGGATATTTAAATAGTTCAGAAAGAGATGCAGCCCTGTGGATTTGGGAGGAACTGTGACTTTAGTGAAGTCAAAAGTCCAACGACACAATAATATTCCCCCAAATAATTTTTCACAAGAATACCTAATGATATGTTTTGGTAGTTCCTGATGTTTATAGAAGTCACTTTTTTCATGGTGAGCATCAGTTTACCTAATAATGAGTCCATGATCACTGGTGAAGACAATGACTCCTGATTTAAGGAAAGAAATGTGAGAAATAACTGAAAATGATTCTGACTCCAGATATCCTGACAGCTGCACCTGATCACACCTGTTTGCTTTAACATCACTGATCAAGTTCAACGATCAGGACATCAGATAATGTTCCTGAGCTCACTGAGCAGTCCATCACTGAGTGTGATTAATGGTGATTTGTTGAAATAAGTCAGAATAAATCAAACGGTTCACCTCAACTTCATGTCCTCGGTTTCATTTCTGAGAATTTAAAGTTCAAAGTTTAGTTAAACACAAATTCTGCTCTTTAAACAGCTTCTAGATCCAATAAAACTTTTAATAGTTTGAATAGATTCAAATACCCTTTAAAACTGAATGACTGATGGAGACTCTGAATCTGGTACAAACTAAACTACAGCTCATCAAGGCTGTTATCGGATTTTTGCAAATTTCCTTTTTCAAGTCATAATCAATAAAAACAATCTGATTTATACATGAAATCTATTTTTTGTTTCTCAGGTGATCAGAAACAGTTTAGCTGCTGTGGCTGCAAACATTTGTCTGTGCAGAAAACACAAACATGACAATAACAAAAGAGAAGTTATAGAAGATATTTTGGGATGTTGGGGTTACAGGTCTGAATAAAGTCTTCTGTCAGAAAGATGGCAGCAGGCCAGGAACGGTACATGAACTTATTGATTGCTTTACAATATACGTGTGACTACGATTATGGTCATAGATAACTAGAAACACAATCATAATAACATTATTTACTTGACACAAATAATATCTCAAAATATCCACAAGGGGTCACTGTCAACCAACAATTTACTTCATAGCACATCACAAAGTTTGCTAATAGTAAAAACAATAGAAGCGTCGTTTAACTTAAGTCCTAATATAGCTGGATGTAATTAGTGCTAAATAATCTTACCAACATAGCATCAAAGTACTGAGACATAAAATCAACTCAGTCCTATGAAACTGTTCCTTTGGGGAAATCCACTAGGACTGGCCGCTGATGCAAAATGATTCTTTTCCCTAGACATCCTGAGGCCAAGTCAGAGCAGGGAAATCTGAACAAAGTGAAAGTGGGAACACTGGACTTTGTTGTGCTGGTTACCTGATCACTCACAACATTTAAACTTGAAAACACCAGTGGTGTTTCCATCAGCTGCAGGACAGAGTCATGGACAACAAGGATGCAGCGAATGTTTGGAAAGAATAAACATTTACCAGCTGAAACAAGAGGAGACGGCAGGAATAAGAATTTTATATTTTACTGTATCATTGTGTCCACTTCCGCTCTTTATTTGTGCACAACTTATTTGACACTTTTGTCTGTTTAAAGCATTTAAAAGCAGCGAGGCTCTCAGGCTGTTATGGTCTGTTACACTGCAGCTATAAAACTGTCATACTGTGGATGGGAGCAGGTTAGGAGCCAAATGCAAAGCTGCAGAGTTCACAAAGAAAGCACGAGCCATTGATATAAATCTAAATCAGAGTGCAAATTATAAAAATTAACACAAATCCAGGAAGTCAAGGAAGCCAAGCATACAGTATAACACAACAAAGAACACATGAAAGAGCACACTGAGCTAACAAAGCGAGGATGTAAAACAACACCACAACCAGTAAACCAAGAACTAACTGAGAACATCTTTACAAAGAACCACAACAACAGATGACCTAAAATATAAAACTCCAGAATCACATTTACAGAGGACAGAAAAGAAACTATAAAAAATAACAAATAACAAAAAGTATTTAAAAGTAAAAATTAAAATGCCAGGATACACTTAATAAACTTTTTGTTTCAATCATCAGTTGAAGCTGGTAGTTCATGTAGTTTTGTCAGTGTAATAATCATCATTTAATGATCAACACCCACACAGCAACAGGCTAACAGTCCAGTTTAACATTTATAAACCTGCTGCTTTTGGTCACACTGACAGTTTGATCTATATGTCAGACTGTTTTTACTGATTATGAAAGATGAACAATAAAGTTAAAGACCCAAAACAACACTGGTGAGCTGCAGGCTGTCTTACAGACCATCCACCTCACTTCACCTATATTTAGACACTAAACCTTGACTTGGACCATCCTGTCTCACCACGTGTTCCTGGGATCTGTACTATGAAGATACCCAGGACATCTTTCTGCTTTGTGCCTTTACTTCTCCAGCACTGACGACAACATTTGTTCTAATTTTGTCCCGATTGCCACCAAAATCAA